GAAATTCCCACTTCATCCCCCAGTCTCTCCATACTGGGAGGAATTCCCACTTCATCCCTGATCCCTCTACACTGGGGAAATTCCCACTTCATTCCTGGTCCCTCCACACTGGGGGGAAGCTCAGCACCAAATCTGCCTGGGAGCTGCCTGCTCCCCAGATCTGGTGCCATCCCTGGTGCCAGAACCCCCCCAAGCCCTTCCCCTTCCCAGACCTGCCTTCCAGGCTGGGATCCCCATTCCCACCCCCTCTGGGTGCCCAGGCCTGGGTGCCAGGCTCTGGGGCAGGATGAACTCAGCTGGCAGTGCCCTCCTGCCTTATCCCAGCCCCTGGCAGGCTTTGGAGATAAAGGCAGGTTTTGTTGGGATTAATTAGCGCTGGCGTGGCGGAGCTGCCGCCTGCCAGGGCCTGACAGGCAGCTTAATTAATAATTAATCCTCTCACCGCTGCCACTTGGAGACGGCTCCGCAGCGGGGAAGCGCAGGGGGGAACCCAGAGAGGAGCAGGGAGCCCCGGCAGCGTGGAAAGCCGCTGGGGAGAGGGGATGGAGGGAGATGTTTGCTCCCCGATGATGTTTTTCCCTTTTTTCCCTTTCCTGCCATCAAATCTCCTCCTGCTCCTGGGCTGCGCCGATCTTCAAACGCGAGAATTCCACCGTGCAAAGCTTTGGGATGCTGGCAGGGGTTTGGGAGGGTGAAACGAGGAGTCGGTGCCCCCGCAGCACTCGGGGAAGCAGCAGAAGCTTTGCCAGCGCCACGAACCTGATTTGATTTGATTTATTTTATTGCAGCCGAGGCGTGCGGAACAAAGCAGAGCAGGAGCCTGGTGAGAGCAAAAAAAAACCCCAACCAATTCCACTCCCCAGAGCTCGCTGGCTTTTCACTGGGATGTGCTGCCTTCGCAGCAACCCAGGAGAGGGGAAAATCCTGATTTCTGTGGGAATCCAGAGCTTCCCTCTGGCTGCCCTGGGACCCTGGCAGGGGTCAGGAACCCCCCTGGACAGAGCCCCCAGAGACACTGGCTGTGATCTCTGCCCATGGAAAAGAGTTTTCAATCTTACAGGATGAATTACCAGCTCTGAGTGTTTGATATCAGTAATAATTAAGTGTGGCACGGGTGCAAAAGTAAAATTTTAGGATTCTAGATTAGGGGTCCAAAGGGGACAAGATGGAGGAAATTGGGTGTGTCTTGTCCTTTTTCTCCTTCTTCATGCCCTCCATGTTTCACTGTGGTGTTGGCATTTTTCTGTTGGTTCAGGCTGGGGACACACTGTCCAACGTAGGTGACAGATATTGGCACGTTATTGTAAATCCAGCACAGGTAGTTTGTGGTATTTAATGTTTGTACCATCCCACTGAGGGCAGAGCCCCACACGCTGCCCTGCAGGACAGAGCTGCGGCAGGGCAGCAGAACATGTTAGAGATAAACAGAATAAACAACCTTGAAACCAGCACAGACCAATTATGGCTTCTGCTTTGGCAGCGGGGCAGAAAGACAGAGACTTTTACAATCTGGGAATCATCAATAGCTCAGATTCCAACAATTTCCCAGCCAGCAGCTGGGATGGAACCTCCTGGGGCTGGGAGCAGGCAGTGAGGGGAGCGCTGAGGACAGTGGGACGTCCCCAGATGTTGTCCCCAGATGTAGTTCCCAGATGTTGTTCCCAGGTGTTCCCAGGTGTTCGCAGCTCGGGCCGTGGCACGGCAGGGTTGGCAGCTCCCGTGCCCGCCGTGCCAGAGGGGACAGGTGTGCCGGAAGGATTTGCTGCTCCGGCAGGTTTGGGCTCGCTCCGGGAGAAAAGAGCTCCAGGAGAGCTGGGGCTGAGCCTGGGGAGGCTCAGGGGAGCAGCAGCGGTCAAGAAAAACCAGGAGAAAACTGGGATGGGATGGGATGGAGGGAGAGAAAATGGGAAGCAAATGAAGAACGGGTTGGGATTTTAGCCTGGAAACCAGCACGGAGTGAGGAGGTGGATGGAGCCCTCCCCATTCCCTCCCTGGCTCCACAAATCCAGCCTGGGGACAGCTCTGTCCCTGTCCCCCCAGCTCTCCTATCCCCACAGCCAGGTCCAAAAATCCCACCTGGGTTTGGGGGATTGCAGCAAGGAGCCTCGTGGGGGTGGTTGTCTCTGGGAGAGGGAGTTCCAGTCACTCCCAAAATCCGGCTTTGCTGGGTGCTGCCCAAATTTCAGGTACACCAATAAAAGCAGGCGTGAAGCGCACGAGCAGACATAATGTGAGGGCTGAGGTGGTTAATTAAAGTGAAGGGAATAAGCGGATAAAGGATCTCCCAGTGAGGCTTGGGTGGCCTCCAGGCTGGGCTGTTCCTGCCTGGGCAGATCCCTCACGCAGGGCTCAGGCCTGGATCCTCTCACCCCTGTCCAGCAGCAGGATTTTCCCCAGGGATGCCAGGGAAGAGCAGAACCGTGGCTTGGCACATCCACGAGCAGCTCAGGATCCGTGGCAGTGCCAGCTGGAGCCACCCGGGCCAGTGGGAGCTGTCCCTGCCCGTGGCAGGGCTGGCACTGGATGTCCCCTCATGTCCCTTCCCACCCACACCACCCTGCTGTTCCACAAAACTCCCTCCCAGCAGCTCCACTCTCATCCAAACACCCAAAAAAAAGGGAGCAAAGAGGATTTTTTTGTTTTTCCCCCGAGTGCAGAATACCCGCAGAGATCCCAATTCCCTTTTCCTGGGCTGCTGCCGTGTCCCAGGGCGGGACAGAGGAAAATCCATCATTTTCCAAGCGTGTCCCATCCCCCAGGGCCCGGGGGGATGCTCGGGATGCGTTCCCAGGGGCTCCGCAGAGGTTTCATAATCCCTGCGTGCCCCGGGCACGCTGCTGCCCTTCCTTGTTTGTTTGCTTAGCAGCAATTAGAGCAGCGTAATTACAAATCAGTGCGGGGTTCCAGAAAGAATCGCTCGGTTTGGCTGCCGGGAGCCCCCCACGGGCCAAGACAAACCCCGGGAAGGGAGGGAAGAACCCGGGAGCGCAAAAATCCCAGAAAAAGGGAGAGAAACGCGGCCGGTTCGGAATTCCCGGCGGGGAATGACTGGGTGAGGGTTTGGGGTGGGTTTGGGATGGGTTTGGGGTGGGTGCGGGTTTGGGATGGGGGCAGGTTTGGGGGTTGGGTGCAGGTTTGGGGGTTGGGTGCAGGTTTGGGATGGGTTTGGGATGGGTTTGGGGTTTGGGATGGGTTTGGGATGGGTTTGGGGTGGGTGCGGGTTTGGGATGGGTTTGGGATGGATGCGGGTGCGGGTTTGGGGTGGGTGCGGGTTTGGGATGGGTTTGGGGTTTGGGATGGGTGCGGGTTTGGGATGGGTGCGGGTTTGGGATGGGTGCGGGTTTGGGATGGGTGCGGGTTTGGGATGGGTGCGGGTTTGGGATGGGTTTGGGGTGGGTGCGGGTTTGGGATGGGTGCGGGTTTGGGATGGGTGATGGTTTGGGGTGGGTTTGGGGTTTGGGATGGGTTTGGGGTTTGGGATGGGTTTGGGATGGGTTTGGGGTTTGGGATGGGTTTGGGATGGGTGCGGGTTTGGGATGGGTTTGGGATGGGTTTGGGGTTTGGGATGGGTGCGGGTTTGGGATGGGTTTGGGGACGGATGAGGGTTTGGGATGGGTTTGGGGTTTGGGATGGGTGCAGGTTTGGGGTTGGGATGGGTTTGGGGTTTGGGATGGGTTTGGGGTTTGAGATGGGTGCGGGCAGGACTCTGTTTCGGAGCTGTTGCAGCATCTGGAGGCGTTGGGTGAGGACAGGTTAAAAACCAGCGCAGGGGCACCGGAGCATCCCGGGTTTTTTCCCTGGCTTGGCTTTACTCCCGAGAAATCAAAGGAAAGGCTGTAAGTATCAGGTTGATTTTCTAAACAATTCCCCTCTGAGCTTTTAAATAAAACCCAGGGTTTTGAGCAAGTGCAGTGCAGGGCAGCTAAAGACAGCAGCAAGGGAAAAAAAAAAAAAAAAAAAAACCAAAAAAACCCCACTTTTCATCCAGAAAATAACTGGGATTAAAATATTTACATTTTCTCCCTTGGTGTTTTCAAGGTTTGGTTAAAAAAGAAGTTTTTCATTTGGGAAAGCAGCTTCTCTGCAATTTTATGGGGGACCAAAACAAAACAAAAGTCGATTGAGCCTTTCCAAAATTCAATAGGTGAAATGAGGCCAGGAACTAAATAAAAAAAAAAAATTGTTTTTAAAATCAGGTGCTTTGAGAAACATTTGGGGAGAAAAGTCGCTGTACCTGGAGGGTTTTCACTGCACAGCCTCATCCAAGTCATTTCTTGCCCTTTAGATGAAAAACTAATCTGATTTTTTTTTCTGGCAGATCTATGAAAGTCAGGAGCACATGGACTAATTATTATTTGGGATAATTATTATTGGGTGGGGGTCATAGAACCCAGGGGGGGCTCACAGAACCCCCAGCCAGCACATTCCCAGCCCAGCTTCCCTCCCTCCCTGTCCCTCCCAGCTCGGCTCCTTCCCTGGGCTGGCAGCCAGAGCTCATCTCCGGGGGAGGCACCTTCAGACACCTTCAGACACTTTCCAGAACCTTCTCCCTTGGAACACCTGGGCTCCTTTTGTTTGTTCCGTCACCTGGCGGGGAGGTGGGAGGGCTCCGTGTCCCCGTGTCACCCCCGGGGGACGAGGGGGGCCCCAAATCCGCGGCTTTGGAAAGAGCCACAAACCAAACACCCCGAGGGCATCTCAGCCCTGATTTGGGGTGGGACGTGCAAAGGAGACCCTGGTGGGGACAGCCAACAGCGGAGGGACCCAGTGGGGTACCCGGGGGCTGCTGTGACACCCCGGGATGGTCCCCAGGGGCTGCTGTGACACCCTGGGGCTGCTGTGACACCCCGGGATGGTCCCCAAGAGCTGCTGTGACACCCCAGGATGGTCCTCAAGAGCTGCTGTGACATCCCGGGATTGTCCCCAAGGCCAGCAGGGCACCCTGAGGCTGCTGTGACACCCCGGGATTGTCCCCAGGTGCTGCTGTGACACCCTGGGATGGTCCTCAAGAGCTGCTGTGACACCCCGGGATTGTCCCCAAGGCCAGCAGGGCACTCTGGGGCTGCTGTGACACCCCGGGATTGTCCCCAGGTGCTGCTGTGACACCCCGGGATTGTCCCCAAGAGCTGCTGTGACACCCCGGGATGGTCCCCAAGAGCTGCTGTGACACCCCAGGATGGTCCCCAGGGGCTGCTGTGACACCCCGGGACACGGGTGGGCTCTGTCCCGCATCCTCCCGAGCCCAGCACCCCGGGGTGAGCCCGCAGGGGGGACTCCCGGGGGGTTTTTGGCCATGTTTGGGTTCTTTCCCAAACTGCTGGATGGAGACACCTGGGAGGTGACACTGTCCCTGCACTGTCCCGTGTTTGTTCCTCTCTTCAGAGCTGCAGCAAGCGGTTCTCCTGATTATAGCAACTGGAAAAAACCCAAAAAACCGGTATTATTTTTATACAGAAATCCCATCAAACCTTCCGGAAATCTGTTCTCTGTTTAATAAAGATCTGTAGGGAACGGGTATGTTTATTTACAGCGCTGGACGATGTGGGGATTTATTGCTTTTCAATGGACACGTGCACCTCTGAGAACTCTCCATCTTTTTTTATTACCCTGACTAGTTTCTATATGCACAGAATTTTACAATAGGTTAATGCATATTTATTTTGTTGATTTTGCGTTATACTTACAGCTAGTTGTACTTGTACTTAGCTTTTTTCAGAAAGCACAGAAAGAACTCTTGGGTCACTCTGCACTGTCTGTTTCAAGGTTTGAGGCATCTTTTTTATCTTTTAGCGTGGAAATTTTGCATTTTTTCTCTTTAGCTGGGGTTGTTTTTACTAGATTAAACAGCATATTTAGCCAGTTTAAAGCGGCACGTTTTACTGAAATCTAAATGGATTTCTACTCTGGTAAATTTTGGCTCTAAATCTAAATGGATTTCTACTCTGTTAAAATTTTGGCTCTAAATGGATTTCTACTCTGTTAAATTTTGGCTCTGAATCTAAATGGATTTCTACTCTGTTAAATTTTGGCTCTATATCTAAATGGATTTCTACTCTGGTAAATTTTGGCTCTGAATCTAAATGGATTTCTACTCTGGTAAATTTTGGCTCTAAATCTAAATGGATTTCTACTCTGGTAAATTTTGGCTCTAAATCTAAATGGATTTCTACTCTGTTGAATTTTGGCTCTGAATCTAAATGGATTTCTACTCTGTTAAATTTTGGCTCTGAATCTAAATGGATTTCTACTCTGGTAAATTTTGGCTCTGAATCTAAATGGATTTCTACTCTGGTAAATTTTGGCTGTAAACCTAAATGAATTTCTACTCTGTTAAATTTTGGCTCTAAATCTAAATGGATTTCTGCTCTGTTGAATTCTGGCTCGGAGGCAGCGCTGCCCCAGGCCCGGAGCTGCGTCCTGGCCCTTCGGGTGCCCGGCAGCGGTGCAGGCAGTGGTGCCAGCCAGCAGAGCCTGTGCTGTGCCAGCTTCCTCCCTTGGCAGCAGCGGGGCCGGGCACCTCTGGCCAACTCTGGCTTGTGTAAACAGCCCGGTGAGGAAGATAAATGAGGGGAGGCTGCCAGGAGCCTTTCCTGGGAATGGGGCAGGCTGCAGGGCCCTGCTCTGGGGTGAGGGGGTGCAGCACCCCGTGGCATGCCCAGGTCTGCCTCCCCCAACCCCTGCTTGTGATTTGGTGTTGTAAGTGCAGGTGAAGCCCCTGGGCAGAAATGCTGATGTCTGACTCCAGTTCAAAAAGCTGAATGATTTCTTTATTATAACGATGCTATAATCCATTAATATCCTATTTAAAGGAGGTACTGAAACTACAAACCTACTTTTTCTAACTCCCATATCTGACCAACTCCCAACTCGTGCCCCTCTCTCCAGCCCAGCCCCAGGTGGGCTGGATTGGCCACCAGGCTCAAACAATCCTCACCAGAATCCAACCCAGCAACACCCCAGGGAAACAATTCTCCAAGCACATTCCACATGAGAAAACAAGGAGCAGAAATAGGAATTGTTTTCTCTTTCTTCCCTCTGTGCACCTCTATGAAAAATCCTGAGAGAGAGAAGAATGTTCCTGCCACAGTTTGGGGTTAAAGGGGTTTGGGATTAAAGGGGATTGGGGTTAAAGAGTTTGGGGTTAAAGGAGTTTGGGGTTAAAGAGTTTGGGGTTAAAGGGGTTTGGGGTTAAAGAGTTTGGGGTTAAGGAGTTTGGGGTTAAAGGGGTTTTTCAGACTGGCACAGACATTCAGTGCTGGGGAAGCTCCTAGTCCGACTCGTCCTGGAGAAGAGGACGCTGAGAGAAGATCTCATGGCAATCCACAATTGCTGATGATGGGAAGTGGAGAGGAACTCCCTGTGGCAGGGACAGCAGCAGGGAGCGGCTGGGGCTGCTCTGGGAGGGTCAGCCTGGATCTCAGCAAAGGTTCTGCCCCCGAGGTGCTGGGCACTGCCCAGGCTCCCCAGGGAATGGGCACATTCCCAACCCTGCCAGAGCTCCAGGACAATGCTCTGGGACAGGGTGGTGGTGTTGGGGTGTCTGTGCAGGGCCTGGATCCGTGATCCCTGTGGGTCCTTTCCAACTGGGGATACTTCTGTGCCCTCCCTGATGCCACCCTGGCAGTGGTGCTGGTGCTTCCCACCCATGCAGAGCCTCGAGTGCTGCCCCAGCCCTGGGCTCTGGGTGTGAGCTGCAGCTTCTGAGGGATACAAGAGGTTAAAAACAAACCCCCCCTGCCCTGAGCCCTGCCAAGAGCTTATCTGAGGCTCTTTGTGAACAAAGTGAGCCCTGGAAGGTGGCGAGGCTCAGTGACAGGGAACAGGGATGCCAGCCAAGATCCTGCCTCTGGCCAGAGGAGAAATTTCCATCTCAGAGAGGAGCCAGCCCTGTGTGACCACCCTGTGCTCCCACCCTGGGGAGGGCCTGGGGGGCTCAGGGGTCTCATGGCTGTGGCTGCACTCATGGAAACCTTGGCTAAAAAGCGCCCTGAGGCAGTGTCCATCCTCCCAGCTCTTTCTGCTGGCTCCTGCACCTTCCAAACTGGAAAAAAAACAATAAAAAACACCTTTCCCCCAGGCTTTAACCCTGCAGGGACACGGTGCACAGCTCCCACAGAAACCAGGAATCACCAGACAGACGCAGGGAGCTTTTCATCCCTTAAAACCTCTGGGGGGAAAAAAAACCAACAAAAACCACTCCAATGAGCTGTAGGTCGAATGAAAATGTGGGAAAATCTCTGAGCAGCCAGAATTCCACAGAGGCCCCAGCTCGAACTTTCTGCTTCCCAAATCCTCCCGAGACTGGGGATCCAGGGCGACTCCAGCCCGGCACTCTTTCCACCCCAAGGCCCAGCCAGGCCTGTTGGGAATCTGCTGGGGCCCAGCAGGGCCCATCTTAGAGCTCTGTGTTTATTTTTAATCGGGTGGCTCTCAAATCTGAGTCGGGCCCCAGCAGTTCCTGGAAATTTAATCCCCAGACCCTTCTCTGGAGCTACTGTGCAGCAGCTCCCTGACCCCACAGTCGGAGCCCGCTCGGTGCAGCCTCAGCATTTGCTGCCTCTGCAGCTGGAAAACCTGCAAAATCCAAGGGGAACCCTCTGCCCTGGCCAGGGAAAGGCAGAGAAAAGCACAATCACAGCGTGGAGATACTGGGAAAGGATCGCTGGTGTTATGTGTAGTAGATATAACTCGTGCCATTTCTAATATATATGTGATATTTATTAGGGTATACATGTTTGTATTAGGATTCCCCCCACCCTCGCAGACAAGACCGGGTGTATTTTGGAAACTGATTTACAAGTAAGAAGGTACAGCTCCCCAGGAGATGGGCCATGGCTGGGGAGATACAGAAACCCCAGGTGCTGATTGTGAATGACCCGAGATGGAAATCATGGAAATCCTCGGGCAGATCCATGTGAATCAACAAACTCCGGACACTGAATTGTTCTCCCTCATCACCAAAAAAGAAAATCTTATTAACATATGGACTCTGAATAGAAGAAAAGACTGATTGCTGAAATCTTGGCCTCAGGAGGAATTTTCCCTATAAAAACCGCTTGTGCCAGGATGGAGGTGTGTGGGCATGGAGGAAACCTCTGCTGAGGCTGACTTCTGGTGCCGACCCCAAGCTCGGCTCTGTTCTTTCCATGTGGCTGGCTAGATAGAATTGGATTGCAAAATAAATATTTTATTTTTTTCATATTAATTTGGCTGGACAAATTTTCATTTATAACAGCTGGGATGGACTGGAGGGGTGGGAGCTGCATCCCACTGCTCCAGGGGAACACGCAGCCCTTGTGGAGGTCCAGGTGAGCACTGGGGTGTTCCCAGTGACTCCTCCTCTCCATGGGAACTGGGACTCGCTGTCCCAGGGTGGCTTTTCCCTCTGAAATCAGTGTAGGAGACTCGTGATTCGTGTTGGGAGCACGAGGGGAGGAACAGCTCTGTGTGTTCCTGGAGAGGCTCCAACAGAGGGGAGCTGAGAAGATCCCAATTATTGCTGGCAGGCAGCACCAGCAGAACTTCCTCTCATCCTCTCACGCTCATGCCCTGCCCTGGGCAGAGCTCCCCTGCTGATCCTCTGCTCTAATCCCCACGGGGATGGATCTAAAACCTGCCCATGATCCACCCAGCTGGTGGCTTGGCTGCTCCTTGCTCCTGCTCTCCATCCCTTTTGGTCCCTGCCCGGGATGCCAGGGGGTGCCAGGACGTCCAGGCAGAGACTTCGAGTGTCTCAGAGCCTGTGGGGATGAGAGGGGCAGAAGCAAAGCCCTGGGCAGGTGGGGGTAAGCCACAGGTCAGGATTTGCCCAGCCTGGAGATGCCACAACTCCTCCCGAGCTGGGAGATGCCCCCCAAACCTCCCAGCAGCTCCTGGAGCAGTGCTTGGCTTTCTCAAAGGATTCACCATTAGGGATGGATTTCTGTCGGATTTTACTTGGATTTTCCTTCCCTTTTTTTGCAAAACCCCTGTTTGGACAAGGCTCAGATCTTGTTTCAGCTGAAACAGGAACCTCAGTGCAGCAGCCATCCACAGCAGATGGCCTCAGCTGGGTCCGAGTCCAAGAGGACGAGGAAAAGCTGTGTCAAATCTGTCCTGGAGACGTGGCCTGAGAGTCTCCTCGAGGGAGAAAGGGAACATCGGTCTTTGAACCACTCAGCATCAGCCTGGGTGAAGTTTTTAAGGTGGAATCCCCACAGGGGGGTGTCAGAATCTGGGGTATTGATGATTCTGGGATTGTAAAAGTCTCTGTCTGTCAGCCCCACTGCCAAAGCAGAAGCCATAATTGGTCTGTGCTGTTCCAAGGTTGTTTATTCTGTTTATCTCTAACATGTTCTGCTGCCCTGCCGCAGCTCTGTCCTGCAGGGCAGCGTGTGGGGCTCTGCCCTCAGTGGGATGGTACAAACATTAAATAC